GAACGAGCTTTATAATCTTAAAAAATACAGGTCAAGTCAGTTATTTAGATTTGACTATAAAGGGAACAATCTTTAACAGATTTTGCACATGGAAAAGGATCAGATCTCTGCTAAGCATTATTTTTTAATTGTCTAGAAAACAGTTAGTAGCAAATACATAAAAAAATGTAATAATTATCCTAAGCTTAAACAAAATAAACTGCTTTTTCTAAAAGGAATATTCACGGGGATTACAAGCCTGTTAGCCAAACAGTTCAATTCTGCCCTGACAAGTCTTTCCCGCAAGTAGTTTCAGTGCTTACTGCAAATCACAGTCTTAGAAAACTGGGTCCTATATCTATTACCAGATAAAAGCTTAATCATATAAACAAGGAGGGCGCTGAAATAAAGGACGCAATATTCTATTGCATATACAGGTAGACGTATAAGACAAAGAGAACTCAATAGGTTCAGCTGGTGTAAAGCTGTGTAACTCTGGCTTTAGCCTGCTTTTCTGAAGAAGCAAGGCTTATGCAGTCAAACTCTGTGTGTGTGAGAGCCCTCAATAATAACATTTTAATTAATTTTTCTCTCAAATTATGCAGAGAGGTTGGAAGGCTCCAAAAGAAAGAATTAGGTTGCTGTAAGGTCTGTGAAACTATATGGCTGGATACCGGAAAGAAATAATCTCTGCGCTTTCAGCATTAACTTGAAATAAGAACCAGGGGCTACAAGCCCTGCCTCATCTCCACACTCCTTACACATCTGCAGCACACACATTTTGTGTTTAGTCTTTGAAGTTGCAGGAGGTCTGGGGCACGTGGTGGTTCTGCCTGCCCAGAGCTCTGTAGCAGGCAGGGAGCCAGATCTCCTCCTCCTCCCCCGCTGTGGGCTCACTGGCACCTCTGCGTTTTGAACAGAGTTGAATTTCCTTTCTGGGGTAAACGCCACAGCGTAAGGTCTCTGCCTACTGGAAGGAATCCATGCCAAAAAGAAGCATTATAAATGCCTCACCAGTGGTAAATTTTTCAGTCAATTTGCAGCTTCTTCAAAACCTCAGTCACAACAAGATACGACGTTGTAACAGATCAGGTTTCAGTAATGGCCTTCCCAATAACTTAAGTCAATGCAGTTACGCTTACTGAAAATTAAGTTTTTGGCCCACTGGAAGTCAATCAGGACAAAACTGGTAACCTGAGATGAAGACAATGGGGCAGGGAATGGGCACAAGGACAAGGACACTCCGAAGGGTGGTGACAGCGCACGAGTTACGGCACAGTACTGCCAGGATGGCTGGCCTGCGCTTGAGCCAGCGCTCATGCCTGGCACTGCTGGCACGGACAGGGTTTGGTCAGAGGGTCTGTATTATCTTTAGCAAATGTGAGAAGATATTAATGGGAAAGTTGAGTGTTTTTTCCTCTCCTGTTTTTTTTGCTTTGTGCAGAGCACAAAGCCATTGACGTCAGCTTTGATTATTTCAAGCATTTAAGGTGGTGAGAAACTAAAGCAATGTGCAGGTGTCTCTGCCCATTGCCTTGGGGCGGGGGGGGGAGTGGGAAGAGTTTATAACTAACCATACTGAAAAAGAGTAGATATTTTACAATTTTCTGGGTAGGTAGCACTACTAGAAAATGCCTCCATTGAACGGCCTCCCAGATGCACAGGTCCACCCTGCACTGGGGTGACTGAACACCCCTAACAACTCGTGGTTCCTCAGTCTTCTAGATAGAGCCACCTCCTGGCTAGAGGGTATAAAACAGACTGAGCCTCCCCATGCCAGGAAATGCATTAGATGGAAGAAAAGATTGTTAACAAACTTGAGCACCTTGGGCCAGCCGATCAGCAGATGCCTGTCTGAAGACCTGGACCCAAAGTTTTTTAAACATATCAGAGAACTCAGGGCAGGATGCACTGAGATTCACCTCTGTCACTGCCAAGTACGTGTATGCCTGTTTGAAAACCTGAGATATGCGCTGAAACCTTTTGCATATAAGGGAGAAAACATATTATTTGCATTGCAGCTGCAGTATGAGGCTCAAGGCCTCTGTCCCAAAGAGAATCAGGGAACTTCAGATCTGCTGCAGTCGATGTTTCAGGCTTGTTCAGAAGATCCCCTTGTGCAACTGCAGTAAGAGCTCAGGCAGAGTGTAAGTGTATATGAATTCAGGTTTGGCTCCTATTCTCTCTGAACTCTCTTAATATTCCCATTCCCAGGTTTAAAAGTAGTATCCTATGTTTATACATATAATAAGTACTGTACATCTGGTAACTGCAGGGCCTAAATTTGATCTTGTAACACACCCCTACTGAGTATTCCTATGGCAGATACAAACTGTCAGATATTTGTTACCATTTCTTTCTTTATGCTGCTAGCTGAAGCAGAATCCTTTGTTATGTGGGTACCTGTTCTCATCACTGAAAAGAGCAAACTCTATACACAAGATACTTAGTGGATACTAATAAGTATGAACAGGACTAATCCTCAGGCAGAGGATGGAGGAAATCAAGATATACTTCTTTTAGAGTCATTGTATGATGCTATGAAGCTTGTTTATGTAACCAGATAACTGAAATAATATCAACCCCCATCCTTAATGAAGGTCCATGTCACAACAAAAAGAAAAGCTCATGAAGGGCTCAAACTGGAAGGCTAGTTTTACTGGTGGTTTCTTTTTCAAGATTTTTCTGTCTGTGGGAAAACAAAAAGTAAGACCACAGGTGACAGGAGATATCAGAAACAGGTCCAGGAGCTCTGGGATGCAGCAATTCCAAGTGCTGGGACAGAGCTGGGTAAGACAAGGAACTGTACATTGAAGAAACAGTCTCCTGTTGTTTGATTTATTCTGCATTCAAGGAACTTTTAAAATAAACACAGTCTGATATCATCAGCTTCTCCTTCCTAATGGATACAGTCTGCAAAGTTCCTGTTTTAACTCTAACAGGTCAAAAGAGGAATAGCACAAATTTTCAGCCACTTCTGTTTAAAGTTGGATTTGTGCTAGTGACCTGTAAGTGCAGTATTTTCTAGTCTATTATCAGTCTTCTGAGCCACACACTTGCCACCTTTTACTTCTGCCACAACCCTTCAAGATAAACTCTGGACTTGGACACAGTGTATTTTGAGTGCCTCTTTTAACCCTCCTTTCTCACCTTCCCTTTTCTTTACAAGTATTTTTTTACTTGTTAGTTGGAGAAAAAAACTTGCATTAACTTCACTAGGAGAGTAAAATTAGAGCTTGGTGCTGTACCCCTTGCTTAATTTATCCCTGGAGTAATTTAGAAGATAATTTAAATGTTGTTGCTCCCACAGGACAGGCTGAGAATATTCCAAATCCACAAAGAAATTAAGTTTAAATGTGCATGCAGACTGGTAAAAACACAGAGCACTGGTTTACTCATTTTATGAAATACATGTGTGGGAAATACAGTGCTTGGAAAAAAAAAAAAAAGGACTGTACAAGAATGTAATTATATCTAGAGTATTTTTTGTTTGCAAACCCCTGAAATATCAGTATGCAATAGCAAGTGATGTTTAGCTTTTATACAGGGAGATAGACTCATACTGTCTTACAATGAGAGTTAATCCCTCTGAAGTTCTGTAAAGTTTCTTCTCTTTCTTCCTCAGAGGATGAGTCCATCAGTTCTAACAATGCAGCTCAGAGACTCACTCCTGACACTTCCGTAGGTAACCTAGAACTATCACAGGCTGTGTCAGACCAGCTCTTCCCTACTGTGCTGCTTCTCCTCCTGGCATCTCTAAAAAAACAAGGGGATTTAAAGAACTATACATTTCAGGGAAGGGCATGTGACTCTGCTCCAGCCTTTTTCTGTCCTTACTGTGTCACTTCCTCATGTGAGATTCTTGTTGTCCTTGGAAAACTCTTTCACCTCTCAAAAAATAATCTAACTTATTTTGTCTTGATGTTCTCTAGCTGCGTGGGACAGAACCAGGTATAAGTGTGTGGTCATACTATGGCCAGTTCTAAGCATGCAAGTGCCATGAATCAGCTTCATTCTGTGAAAAACCATGAGAAGGTAGATGTAAAGGTAGATGACTGAAAAATAAAATTAGTGCTGGGTTGTGTTTATTTTCAGTAACTCCCAGCAATCTGAAGCCTAGAAACTGATATTTTTTCTTAAAATGGAAGATGAGGTTTTGGCATATGTATTCAGTTCCAGAACCTGAGCCTTCAAGGAAAGGCAGCAAAGAGTGCAAGATTTTTTTCTCAGATCTGGTTAGGTAAAGTTAGCTTTGTTACTCTCCATCTCTCCTTATCTCTTCTCCCAGCGTTGCGCTGAGAGCTTTTGGCCATCCAACAGGTATTTGTGACTGTAGTCAGTTAGAAGACAAGACAAATTTAGAGGAGAGCAAAAGCTAACCTAAATTATGCCTGACCACTACAAAGGCAGCTACCATGCAGCATCCCTCAGCACCAGGATCTAGATCATTAATCCTGCCACCAACAAAGTGGCACCACTAAAGGTTCTGCCTTTAATGCACTAAGAAATCACTTTCACTTCCAGGTGAAGCCAGGCATATATTATGTTCACTCCAGTTCACTGGAGACACATCGGGGTTTTTTCAATATTCATCACACTACAGCACATCTCTCAAAATACTGCAGAAGCTATAAATTAACTGTGCTTTTTCATCTTATTTATACAGTGTATTATTTAAATTGTTTAGATTTAAGATATGCTTTTTGATAAGGTGCATTATTTATTCCATATATTTAACTTCTAGTTAGCTTGAAGGAAAAAGTCCTCCCGTTACAAGGCAAGAAGAAAACATCAATTAAAAAACCCACTAGTTTTTAAGAAAATAATACCTATATAAGGTATTGCATAAATGTTATTGATTAAAAAATATGTTGATATCTCCACTATAAATATGAATATACAGCAGTCAGTAATGGTCCAGGCATTCTGATATTAATTCAGTTAAAACGGAAATAGTGGTGACGATAAGTCTCATTTAGGAAGCCTCAAAAGTTATTGGAACAATCATTGTCCTCACTTACCTTGAGACAACCAGTGGGAGAATCAACATTTTCAGCATCCTCATCAGTAACTCACCAGGAAACTGGAAATAACTAATTTCCTAGAAATACATGGAGAGACACTTATTGTTTTGAGATAAAGACTGACTGACTTCATGAGTCCTGCTAGAGCTGTGGATCAGATAACATTAGTAAAATCTGCAACTTTGCTATATCAGGTGGCAAAGATAATAGGCTTTAAAAGATAATTTAAAAATTAATTAGATATTGTGTTGTAATTCAACAAAAACGTACTACATTGTTTGTTCCTTCACAAAGGAAGACAAAAATGAAATATACCATCTCTTGGGGACTACTGTTAATAGGTTGCCCTGAATAATCTCTTCATTCTGCATTTTGTGTATTCTGCAAGATGTGTATGAAGCTACAGCTTGGACATAAAAAATGTTCAGACCGCAGTGAGCAGTAGCAGAACAAAGAAATGGTTTTGTTTAGTCACATTTACTAAGTGCCATATTTTTTAATTGAGATTTATATTTTGTGCTCAAACAATGCACTCAGGAGTGCATGTTGTCTTCTATATTCTGTCTGACTAGTACATCAGAAAGAAATGAGTACCTGCAAAGAGTTTAGTTGAAGCATGCTGGAGGAGAAATCCCCAAATGACTTTAATAACATGGTCTGTTAATGATGGGAAATCTCAAATTTATTAATGCAAAATACTGTTGATGTAATATAAAAATCTATACCTCTGTACATCTGATGATGAAAAATATTCCCAGTGTTTTCTTTAGATGTACATGTTCCAAAGAAATATAAAAATCCAATTAATATATTGTGCTATCAGTTTTTAACAGGTCTATATTAGATGCTACATTTCATCTAGCTTAAACACCCACTGTTATTATCCATACTTACAACATTATAATATGCTTATGCTAGACTTATTAGGTGTCTTAAAGACCAGAACCCTTTGCAAACGTATCGTTTGGGAATGTCTGAAAAGACCCAAAGAACAGCATAGATTAACAAACAAAGGAAATCAAACAAATTTAACAAACACATTTATGTGCTTTTTATCTTCAAAAGTCCAACCTGAAGTTCTGCAAGTTGCTAAGTCTTTTGTTACATAAGTACGATATTTTCTCTGTAGCGATACACTGCCGTGCCACACATACCTGCTGGGATAGCCGTCTTGTCCTCAGGAAGAATCCGAGAAGACAGCCAATGGTGACCGACAACACCGAGAGAATAAGCAAACCATTTCTTTTACAAACATCCTTGATCCGAGCTAGGATTGCATCAAAAGCCACTGCCATGCTGTCCTCCGTGCTCTTTGGAGAAGAATCAGCATCCCATGGAGAGAGAATTCACTTGCTCCTCTTGTTCGGGTGGGCAGATCTAGCTCTGTATAGATCAGATCAAAGCACTTCCAGTTCTGCTGAGCTGACCTGCAAGGTCACCCCTCTGCCAATAGCCACCAAGCAAGCAGCTGGCATTATTGTTCCAAATTAATACCAACAATCCTATTATCGACTACATCATTAAGAGCCTGGAAGAAGATTAGGGGCTCTGGAAAATTAGAACAGGAATGCAGTAGTATTTCTAAAACAAGACTGGTTCAAAACAAAGTGACACTCCTGGGAGAAAGACAGTGTTTGAGTGCATTCCTCGGTCTCCCCAGGCTGGGATCTGGATATCCAAACCTAGAAAGGGAACACTGCAAGTCATGCATTCAAATGGGTAAAAGTAATGTTACTGCAGTTTTTCTAAAGGGCAGAGCAGGTAACATTTTGAACTGGACTATCACAACAGGGCAAGCTAGGTGAAACTGAACTTCATTAATTAAAGCAGGCTTGGGTTTTTTGTTTTCACAGCAAAAAAAGGCTGAATGAGTAGCCTAAGAGACACACATCAAACAGAAAATAACTGTATACTGAAACACGCAAGGAGACCTTCTGGCATTTGGCATTTATTATCTTGGAAGTGAAGTGATTTCACTTTTTCTCCAACCACTATGTTGATTAGAGTAGGGCCAATTTACTTTCAGAGGATTATCAGACTAAGCCACAGGGATTGCTTTCCTTTCCTTTGCTATGTCCGCATTCAATCCCAACACTGATGTTGATGCTAGGATCTGATAAAAATACACCACTGTTAAGTGTTCACCACGGCACACTTTCTTACCATTTCTGTAGTTTCTGGGTTACTCTAAGATTATTCAGTGTTTCTACAGAAAATATTCCATACAGTACAACAAAACTGTGTGTTTACAATATTATAGTTTATACTGTATTTGTTGTTACATGCTCACCTATGAGTAAAAAAGGTCATGAGAGATTTAACTGTTCTCTTTGGAGGCAGGACGTGAATGCTGTACGGGGGGACACACACACACAAAAAGAAAAGAGAAAAAAATACGTGGAGTCTATATACTGAACAAGAGCGCTGTCAAATAAGAGAATCACAGAAAAATTTATTAATCCATATGTAGAAGAGGACTGAACTAACGTGGCACCATCCCATTCCAGACACTGTCTAATACCAGATAACTTTGCTATCTCGATACCGAATATACTTTCCAAATGAAATAATAATAATAAAAATGCTTCGTGAAATGCCGTCGAGCTCC